TACTTTTAAGCACTCACTCAGATATAACGGTGCATACACTTTAAATTTACTCGAGTATGTTAATTAATATGGACACTTTGATGGTAAACAACGTTAAACAGAACTTAGATGTTTAAGTGTTTATGCTCCTATGTATGTGCCTGTTGGTTTTTGTATGTTTGTGTGTGTGTGTTTGTATGTGTGTGGTGGTTCATATGTATGCATGTGTATGATTTTGCTATTCATCCAGCACTAATATGATAATATGGAAGATCAAAGAGTTTATTTTGTCGGTTAATGAATGTTGGTTGCGTTTGTTCATATTTCAATGTTTGTATATTTGTGTGTGTGTGGTGTGTATGTCTGTGTGTGCGTGTATGTGTGTGTGGTGTGTGTGTGTTTGTATGCAAGTGTATCTATATATAACGATATTGTATTACAATTTTTGTTTATGTGCGATAGTATAACTTTACAGAATGTATATCTCGAGCTTACGCGCGTTACAAATTGTTTAAGTTCAACATCTCAGACGTTTATTACGTGATGGAGAAGTTGGTCTATGCAACAAGGCATGCATACTCTCACCATATATAAACATATGCATGTATGCATTTATGCATGTATGCTTAAATATGCATATATGTATACGTATGTATGTATATGTGTAAAGATCTATATGTTTGTGTGTGTATGTATGTGTGTGCGTGTATATGTGTGTGTGTGTGTGTGTGTGTGTGTAAGTGTGGGCCGCAAGACACGAATGAGGTGATTGTTAACAGATGTTCCTAGCCTAAACTCTACTGAAGAAATTTCATTGGGCCAATTAAACTCAAATCATTCTTGTTCCAGCATAATCAACTTAGTAATACTCTAATAATAATAACAATAACAATAATAAAAATTTTCTTATTCTTTTTTTATTTTGTTAAGCAATGTTATACATACTGTATTTGTAAACATGTACATACATACAAACAAACAAATACACTCAAACAAGTAAGCTAACTTACACACGTAACTTTAATTAAAACAAAACTATAAACAATACGCCCATGTATGTGAATACCGAAATATATACCATATAAGTACATACACACGAAAATGTACATACATAAACCTATACATATATGTACACATATGTAATTTCTAATCGCACTCATTCAAAGAAATACAAAATATTTAAAAAAAAATACCTAATTGATACCACAGTATAATACCTGATGCAAAAATGCGCATTGACATATTGGCAGAACTGGGCAGAATTAACAACAATCTTCAACTCTTAAGAGAAAACCTCATTGAGTTACAAGAAGTCACAAACAACGCCACTACCGATACTACAACCATAATTACTACTACTACTACTACTATTGCTACTGTTACTGCTGCTGCTACTACTACTACATTCACAAACGCTGTGGCCGCTAGCAGCGGTGGCATAACTACGTTTGCTAATGATATAATTTCCGGCAACTTCTGCAATCTGAATTCCATTTTGAGTTTCGAGAGTTTTAATGGAGATATTGACAACTTTAAAAATGACTTTTCGACAACGATAACAACAACAACAAATAATCATAATAATAATAACAATAACAAAAATACAAATAATAATAGTACGTATACAAAGTTAAAATTTAGTAGTAGTAGCGGTTGTGGTGGTGGTGGTGGTGGTGGTGGCGGTGGTGGTGGCGGCGGTGGTGGTGGTGGTAGTAAGCTTCCGATGTTAGCTCCACATCTGAAGGAGATGAAAATAACCAAATGTTTTGAAACTTTGAAAGTTTGTATTATTATTATTATTATTATATTATTATTATTAATAATGATGTTATTATTAATATTGTTGTTGTTGTTGTAATTATTTTAGTTATTATTAATGTTTTTGATGTAATTATTATTGTTACTGTTTTAATATTGAAGATGATGGTGGTATTATTGTTATTAATACTCTACGTTTTATGTATTGTTGAAGGTGTATTAAACAAACAGGCTAATTAATTAATTTAATTAATTAATTAATTAATTAATTAATAAGTAAACTAACTAACTAAATTACTTGAATAAATAATCATTAAATCCATTTTATAAAGTTTAAATAAATTTTTTTAATTTTTTGAATTGAAGAAAATTCTGAAAACTCATCATTATGAAGAACCAGTGCAATTCGAAGACCACATCACTAAACTTTATCATATGAGGAAGGTTGGAGTAATCATCATCATCGTTTGTCATCATCATCATCGTCGTCGTCATCATTATCATCACCTCATCATCAGTTTTGTTATCATTATTAATGACAGCATTGTAACTTTAATTTTTTATTTACTGTTAATGGAATAGTCTGTAACTTACCGAAAAGTTTATGCCCATGCATCTATTTGTGTATGTATTTGAGCATGTATGTATGTATGTATGTGTGTGTGTGTGTCTGTGTGTGTGTATGTCTGAGTGTCTGTGTGTGTGTGTATGTATATATATATGTATGTATGTATGTATCAATGTATGTATGTATGTATGTATGTATGTATGTATGTATGTATGTATGTATGTATGTATGTATGTATGTATGTATGTATATATATATGTGTTGGTAACAGACCATAATTTTTACAATATTCTATAAATTCTACCAAATGTTTGGCGCTAATATGTTTGTAGCTGGTTCTTTCGATTTTTCTAACTAAAGTTTTTTGGCGAACGGTCAGTTTATTAAAATTCAAAATTTGGGAGAATTTATAGAATATTGTAAAAAAATATATATGTGTGTATATATATATATATATATGTATATATATATATATATATATATATATGTGTGTGTGTGTGTGTGTGTGTGTGTGTGTGTGTATATATATATATAAATATGTGTGTGTGTGTATAAATATAAAGTACATGTGTATTTGTATTACACTCAAATAACGTTTGTATTAGTTGGTATTGGTATGGTATTGGTATCTTTGCGTGTGTACAGTGAGGCAGATGTTTGTTTTTACGTTGTTTTGTTTCTCTCTCCCATTCAAGGCTAAGGATGGCCGGAGATTTGAAGCATTTATTTCCAACTACATCATCACGTTATCATCTTAGTCGTCATCGTTGTTTTGGTTTTTGTCATGTTTGTCATCATCATCAATATCATCATCATTAATATCATCATCAGTATCGTCGTCACTACCACCAACACCATCTTCTTCATCACCATCATCTTCATCATCATCATCCTTTTCTCCATCATCACTATCACCGTCATCTTCACCATCATCATCTTCTTCAACATCATCATCTTTTTCATCATCATCTTCTTCATCATCTTCTTCTTCATCATCATCTTCATCTTGTCGTCTTATTCATCGTAAGAAATATTTCTACCAGCATAATTTTTTAAAACTTCGTCTTAGTTTTCAATATTTTTTCGTTCTCATTCCTTCATTTTTTATCTGTTTATTCATTCATTCATCCATCAATTCATTCATCTATTCATTAATTCATCTATTCATTCATTCATTCGTTCGTTCATTCGTTCGTTCGTTCCTTTATCCAATCATTCGTTTATTAAATGTACCAAAGTAAAGACATTCTTTCTAAACAATTCTACAATGCGTAGAGATTGAAAACGATTGTGAAATATTCCAAATATTTCATTTATCATCCTCATCACCATCATCATCATCATCAAAAACACCATCATCATTACCATCATCACCATCATCGTCATAATCATCATCAATAACCACCACCATCACCACCACCATCATCATCATTGATATCATTATCATCATCACCACCACCATCATCACCACCATCATCATCATCATTGATATCATTATCATCATCACCACTACCATCACCATCATCATCTCAGGCCTGTCAAACACCTCAGCGAGATGATGAAGGCCTCGTCATCATCATGAACTATTACAATCAGCTATATTACGTAGAGAAAAGATTCTACAGTGATGATAATGACGGTGGTGCTGATTACGATGATGATGATGACGATGATGATGGTGATGTTGGTGGTGGTGGTGACTATAGTTTTCAATGGTTGGTTAATTTATGCCAGAGATTAACCACTTTATTAGTTTATCGTTTGTTATTATTATAGTAACGTTGTTGTTACTATTATTATTATTATATCATTATCATTATCATCATATTTGCAATCATCATTATTATCATTATCATCCCCACCATCTTCTTCATCATCATCTTCATCGTCACCACCATCATCGTCATCATCACCATTATCATCTACATCATCACCATTATCATCTTCATCATCACCACCACCATTACCGTCATCATCTTCATCATCGCCATCATCACCATCATCATCATCACCATCACCATTACCGTCATCATCATCATCAAGGTATGACTGTTTCTCCGGAATGAAATCAGCGCAGACTTCCATTTGCTTTGAGCGAGCTTGTATTTTATTCAATATCGGCGTCCTTCTATCCAAGATAGCTATCAAACTGGTAATGATGATGATGACGTTGATGATGATGTGGTGATGATGATGATGGTGATGATGATGTGGTAATGATAATGATGATGATGATGTACCGATGTGGTAATGATAATGATGATGGTGGTGAATATGATGTTGTAATGATAATGATGTGGTAATGATGGTGATGATGATGTGGTGATGGTGTTGATGGGCGGTAATTTAAGGGGGGGGGGGGGGGGGGGAGATAATACAGTGAGACGATGTTGTTGTTGTAGATTAGTTAGTTGTTACTCATCTGTGTTTTGTAGTTTTGCATTTTTGGCGAATTTAAAGTTAGTCCAATTTTGTTAGAAGTTAAAATATCGAAATCAATTTTAAAACATACCAGTTGATAGTGATTTTGTTGTTGCAGAGGAGTGAGGTATCGCATGCAACGACCGTTACGTCTGTAAAAACGACATCAACGCAACCACAACAGCCACCACCTCCAACTTCATCAACTACTTTTGACAATTTAACAAACGTCTACAATGTGAACATTCCAGACCAACAAACGATCAACAACAACAACAACAACAATACGTACAACAAAATTTTCAACACTAAGAGTTGTTTCGGCGACAACAGCACCAACATTGTTAGCAGTAAAAACATCAACAACACACACACCGACAACAAAAACGGCAGCAATAGTAGCTACCGAAACATCAACAGCCCGAACAACAACATTACCAGCAACAACAACAACGACAACATCGACGTTTCCCGCCAAAACGATTATTTTTTGCGATCCTCAGGAGCATTCCGACATTTGAAGGACCATTTTAACCACGCCCCTTCCTGCGACATCCAATCAAATTGCACGGATTTGTTGATGGACCTCATGCTGGCCCAGCAGCACGAATTAATTATCGAGAATGTTGTTGATAGGGCGTTGAATATTGAGGACGTAGTTGTTGCTGTTGATGACGCTCGTGACACTGTTGAGGAGTTAGTGAAGTTGGCCCAAGAATGTAGTTACGTTAGTTTTTTATAGTCATGTTGTGTTGTTGTTGTGTTTTTGTTGTTTGCTGTGTTGTCTGTTGTGTTTCTGTTGTGTTGTTGTTGTTTGCTGTGTTGTCTGTTGTGTTGTTGTTGTTTGCTGTGTTGTCTGTTGTGTTGTTGTTTGCTGTGTTATCTGTTGCGTTGTTGTTGTTGTGTTGTGTTGTGTTGCAGTTGTTAATTTCTGTGTTGCTGCTTGGCATATTGGATTTTTTGTTCTTTCAACCTTGTCATCGTTCGTTCGTGTGTTATTCAATCTTCTGATTTTATCAGAATGTGCCGGCTAAATCAGGCTATTCATAGTTTCAAACGGTTTGAAATAATAAACCATGAAATAATTGAAAACAAATGTTACAATTTCCTTTCAAATCATTCATCAATCCATTCATCCATCCATCCACCCATCCATCCATACATTCGTGTATTCATCCATCTATCATCATCTTGATATTACTATTATTATCATCATCCCCACCGTTTTCTTCATCATCATCACCACCATAATCATCACCACCATCATCACCACCACCATCATCACCACCACCATCATCATCATCTTCATCATCATCATCATCATCATCATTTCTTCCATCCACTCCCCCTCTAGTTATCACAATCATACTCGCGCATTAGCAGCAAGTTAAGTTGCATCGTATGCCTCTCCGGATATTGGTGCCACGTGGTAGACTGCAAGCTCTCCTACTACAACTCACTATCTCACTACTTTGTCGCGAAAACTTACTCGTTGGTCGCCAACGCTAAAAATTTTGAAAATTCTGTTGATCGTGAAGAAATGGCGGCAAAAAATGGCGAAAGTGAATTTGAGAGAAAGTTGAACAAACTCGTCAAGTTGGCGCGAACGATGTACGAGAGGCCGATAAGTGTCGAGAAGAGTTTGCCTTGGTTCAGTTTGTTGAGTTAGTTGCTGTTGTTGTTGTTGTTGCTGCTGTTTTTGTTGTTGTTGCTTCTGTTTTTGTTGTTGTTGATGTTGTTTTTGCTGTTGCAGCTACTGTTGTGTTTGGTTGTTGTTGTTGTTGTTAGTGTTGGATGCAATTTTAAACTATACAACTTATCCGAGAAATTTTACAACATCTTCAAAATATTTTTAAAACTTTCTAACCACTGAACTCAGTGTTTTTATATGACTAACTGTTTTAAAATGTTTTGGAAATGTTGTAAAATTTCATGGATAAATTGTATTATTTCTCGTAAAATCTGTTTTGATCCATCTTTCCACCTATTAAAACATATATTTATTTATTAATTCATTATACTTTAATTGGTTATTCCATCTACGTACCGTCGATCCATTAACCAATTTAATAATTTAATTAATTTTTTTCAAACAATCCACCATCGTCCCAGTAAAATCCCACTTGCGACGGAGTATCCTGGATATGGAATCCTCCATGCATTGTAGCAGGAAGAACAACAATCTCTACTGCGCCACGAATCATCTGCTATGTACTACTATGGAAAGGTTGGCCCGTTGATTGATTGATTGTGTGGTTGATTGATTGGTTGATTGATTGTGTGGTTGATTGGTTGATTGATTGGTTGGTTGGTTGATTGGTTGATTGATTGGTTGGTTGATTGATTGGTTGGTTGGTTGGTTGGTTGGTTGATTGATTGGCTGGTTGATTGATTGGTTGGTTGGTTGATTGGTTAACTCATCATTATTATCATAAATAGAAATGAATTGCTCCCTATACAGAGCTATGAGCAAATACGTTGAAATGGAAGAGGATGATGATTTCACAGAACTCATTCAAGTTCCCAATATCCTAAGTCTGTCTTGCTATTTAGTTCTTTTAGTAGTAGTAGTAATTTAGTTCTTTTAGTAGTAGGAGTAGTAGTAGTAGCAGAAATAGTAGTTTAGTTCTTTTAGTAGTAGTAGTAGTAGTAGTAGTAGTACGTAGTAGTAGTAGTAGTGGTAGTAGTAGTAGCAGTGGTAGTAGTGGTGGTGGTAGTAGTAGTTGGACGATTTTTTTTCTCATCATAACAGATAAAACCACGCACGACTGAAG